TGTTACGACAGCGGAATTCACGTGAATCTGGTAACACTTAATGAGTATCTAGAAGGTTCAGGGAACATCACGAATAATCCAGTATTTGCTAGATGCTCTGTATTCCTGTATATAAGCGCGCCAGATAAAGTGAGACAATTTAAGCAGAAGGATTGCAGATGGAGAGATAGAGACAGATAATTGAATCAAGTGGGCGGTAGTGCCCATAAGTAAAGTGCGTGAACCGTTGTGAATTATAGCGTGTGTTTAAGTGAAAGTGACCGTGGAAATTCTGTGTATTGAAAAGTTGTATTGAGAAAGAATAAACTAGTTTTATTTAAGAAAGGACTTGTATCGCTGAAGTTCCTCGGGAAGAATTTTTACGGGAATTTAACAAACGACCAGAGACGTAAGAATATTAAAAAAAAAAGAGGGCGCCTGGCAAACACTCGGATATTCGCGAGGTTTCTCGATAAGTCATGATCCTTCTAGAAACTCCAGTGAGCATGCTCCCAGGGTCGCGTGACTTCCACTGTAGTAACAGTAATATAGTTTATAGAACTTCAAAAGCCATTACTTATAATGCTAGGTTATCTATTCTTAGGATTATAATAAAGAACAAAAATCTGTTTACAAAATAAATACAAGTTTATAATTTGTTTGAATTTGTATACTGGTATGTCACTTTAAATGTTATAACATATTTAGAAAATAACAGTTAGTCTTTTATCTTTTAGTAAAATAACAGTTCTGCACAAAAACAAAAGATAACAAGAAAAAAAATTGAGACTTTATATAAATTGCAAATTATTTCTATAGTTTATGGTATTAAGAAGAAAAATAATTAGTTCTACCTCCAAAAGTTGCAAATTTATCAAATTGTCAAATATTTGAAGATCAAATTACCAAACAATTCATTAGATAAAGGTTTAAATTTTTATACAATTAAAAATGTTTCTAATGTTGCAGATAATTTTTAAAATGTCAGTAATTAAATATAAAATAAACATATACCCTTTGTCTTCCTCCAAAGTTAAAAATATAATTCATTTGGAAACAAATTTAGTCATAAAACATTACACTGACAATAAAATTAAACTTAATACAAATGAAATTTGGAATCTTTCCTTAGAAACAATAAAAAATAGATTTTGCTAAAGTATGGTAACCAAATAGTTAGTGTTAGTAAAAAGTCATTATAATGAAGGTATTAATAACATCTTAACAGATGGTTCTTAAGTTACCTGAAGATTCTAATAATTATTAATGAAAAACTGAGAAAGGCTTTAAAACCTTGAATTACTTTTACCCCTGATCAAAGTTTGAAATTATTATCTTTTAACTTTGTGCTCCTTTTTATTATATTTGGCCTAAAATACCTAAAGATACTAAGTATTCTTTATAGTCCTGTTGTTTCTGGTTTTATTTCTTCATCACGTGTTGGTGTTGCCAAGTATATGGCTGATATTATTATTATTTTTAAACTTCACAACACTTATGAAAAGCTCAATAATAAAATTATACTGGAATGACATTATGGGTGTTTTGATGTAGTTTATCCACTTCGGTTCCAGTAGATAAAGCCGTTAGTTGTTTTGAAGGGAAAATTATTCCAGAATGATATTTTTGACTCTAGAAATTAATGATATAACTAATTTAACAAAAACATGTATATCTTCCTTTCTTAAAGTTCATAACAAATGTTATTCTCAAATCCACGGATTATCTATGTATTCTACATTTCTTCCTTATTTTACAATATTTCTATGAATCATTTTGAAACCTTTTTTTTTTTTCAAAAATTGTCATTAAGTCTATTATTGAATTAAGATATGTTGATAACAGTTTTGTTGTGTGGGGTCATGGTGAAGACAGGTTTAATGAATTTCTTAATAAGTTGAATAATTTTCTTGAAATATTCATTTTATGACTGAATGTGATATTTAATAAACAGACAACTATTTTTTGTATGTTCTAATAACAAGAAACTTTGATAACTTTTGCAATTGTCATGTCCCCTCACAGAGATCCTTGTTTTCACATCTTAAAATATTAAACTTTTAATCATTATCTTTTTATTGATTTTTATAGAGGTAGATTATGTTAAACAGATATCAACAGACAGAGGATGACACACTTCATTTATCTAGTGTATTGAACTTTTAACAATAAGTACAAAAAAGAAAGCAATATGCTTAGATGTAGCTCTTGCTTTTCTATGTTGTATTGGAAAGCTGTTACATAAATTTAGGTTACAAGGTAATTACCAGATTTTAAGAGTGACGTATCACTTGATATCTTATCTATTTAACCTTTTGTGTCACTAATTTGCATAATGCCTGATTGTCATAATATTGGTGGTTTAAACATATATGTGTGACTGTAATCATTTTGCTGTAATAAATGATTATTGTGAATTTATTTGAGTTTCTCTTCAATGGCATTAACTTATGCACCCCCCCCCCCACCACACATATACACTATAAATTAGGCTTAATAGTGTACATATGTAGCTGTTGTAATTACAGCAGAGTAAGTTATTATTTTCACACTTTAAATCTGTTTACTGGCTATTTTAGGTGTAAAACATGTGTAACCAGTTCTTGGGCTTGCAGCTGGTGTGTACATCGGAACCTGTGTACCCATAATGCATCACTTTGTTCAAGAAGAGTGATTATTGGTGAAAGTGTAAGTTTTGCATTAACATCCTAACAAACTTATTTGTGATTTCATAAAAATAAATTCTTTAGAAAAACATTATATACATATATAATTGTGACAAACATTGGCTTTATTTTATGTAAGAAATGTTTAACTGAATTAATAACAATTAAATTTTGAAGGTCATTAGCTGAAGAAAATAAGTAAAAATATACTTTTACCATTGTTACTTCATCCTAAAAAAATGAGAGAGAAGTATATCATTTATTCACAAAATATTAAATGAGAAGTATAATGAAAATAATTTTGATAAGTAAAATTTGCAAAAAGTTCATTCAAATATTTACTGGCTATTATGTTGTTGCTATGCAACATAACCTATGTGGATGTTATTTTAGTTTAAAGAAAATGTGCATGTAAAAAATTTAGCATAGTTTTTTTTTTGATTGAGATGTGTTGATTTGTGTTCTGGATTTGGTGTATCTGGATTTTCAAAGACATTTGATAAGGTGGCAGATAGAAGGCTTGCTAAAAAAAATCTTTGTAGGTGTGGGGGAATGGGTTGGCTCATTGGATAGAAAATTCTCTGGATAGAAAAAAAAACAGAGGGTTGTTGTAAATGAAATACAGTCAAACTGGATTAATTTCATAAATGAAGACCTCTGGGATCAGTATTAGGACCTTTGCTCTTTTTGATTTACATCAATGACTAAGATGAAGGAATGATCAATATTTAAATTTGTTGGTGATATTAACATTTTGATGTTGTTGGCTGTGTGTAGGATGCTGCTACTTGAAAAATGTATTTAGATCATCACTGAGTTGGGCAAATAAATAGCAGATGGCTTTTAATGATAAATAAATGCAAGGTAATGCATGTGGAATATCATAATTTAAATTATAAGTATAAATTTTGATGGAAATAATCTTAAGAGTGTTATGGAAGAAAAAGATTTTGATGTTCTGTTTGATCAGTTTCTTAAACCATCCAAGCTGTGGCAGGACAAATAGGGTTTTAGGTTGTATCTGCAGAAATATTGAATAAGAAGTTCAAAAAGGTTATAATTTCATTGTATATGTTACTGGTTGGGCCATATGTTCAGGGCCAGTGCAACATGTTTTGCTGCCCTGTACAAACATTGAATGTGCTTCCTTGTGAAAATGCACATGTTGGTTAGTTGATGGAATGACCTAGATGGTAGATGAACCAGCAGGCCCCATGGTGTCCTTGAATTGTTGGTTAAATCGTACATTTTGCAAAGAACTGTTTAGTTTCTCACACTGTAGTTTTCAATGTTCAATTAAAACTTGAATGGTGCATATTTTACACGAACATTTGATAAATTGTAAATAATTGTCTTGGTACATTTATGGTAAACAAAATGAAATTACACAATTTAGTTTTTCCATTATTATTATTGCATTGTCACACCAATATCTGAGGTGCATGTGCTTGAACCATATTAGGTCATGCATTTTGCATTTCATTTGAAGCCTAGTTTAATGAGGTACTTGTGCAATTAGTAATAATAAAGTAGCGTTCAGTTAAAAAAACCAAAAAAAACAACAATGAATACGGATTAGTTTTTGATTTAAAAAAAAATGTTTATGATTGATTCTGATATAGTTTCAAGTTTTACTTAAAACGTTATACTCCAGTGACTTAGCATTAAGCTTCAGCATTAAACTCTTAAAGTTCAGTGTGCAGTTTGCACAGAAAAGAGAGCCCATTTGCATGTTTGTGCAAAAACAAATAAATGAGCATTAAACCTAAAACAGTGATTAAGAGACATAGCAAAAAAGAGTAAATAGAAAGTATTTTTCACAAAGTTTATTTTATGGTATCATTTTACCAATTGTTTTACTTTGGTATGTTTGTAAGTAAGTGCATCCTAGTTTTTTTTGGTGTATTTGTTTTGATAGTTTATCCTTTTCATATAGAACCCGGCCAATTCTCTTATTAAAGGACGTCAACATTGTCCAAGCTTCAACTTAAATGAGGAGATTTTTCTTCCTAATGGGGTGAGAAAAAAAATTGTTGTGGAAGTGAAGAATCTGCTGACTCCATTAGTGAGTTACATATCTTATCTCTAGTTCTAATGATAATGTATTTCTTATTTAAATCTTTGTTATCAGAATCCCACAACCAACCTTCAAGTGATCACATTTAGCTATTAAGATTTCCTAAACTCACTTGGGTATCAGAGTTGATAACTTTGCCAGCTACCTTTCTAACTACTGTAGTGGATTTAAATAATTTGCCTAATTTGTTAAAGCTATATAACCATTTATATGCAGTATTTGTAATAAACAGTTTGTTTTTGATCCTCAAAAATATTATAGCTGATTATTAAGAACAAACATATCTTATCAGCATGATCTCAGGAGAATTAACTCTTGCTCTAATAAGCAATTTTGTGTAATAAATTGAGTAATTAATTTCAGAATTAGACTGCTATGCATATACATATTAAAATGGAAATGGAGAAAGATATTTTATAATATAAATGTATATACATTTGCAGGTTTTGTGTTCACTAGTTCTGTTGCTTTTCTACTGAGATTTTAAAACTACAGAGAATATCTGAAGTAAGCATTTAATTTCAATACACAAAGCTACTTTTATTCAGAAATGTTATCTTTATGGTTTTTATTTAACTTTGCTGTTCTTACAGGATGGATTTCAATGTATCATTGAAATTGAAGGTGCAAAAGAAAGAGTTTTTGCCAGAGTGAGAGACAATAAAGTCATCTGTGCTGAAAATGTGGTGAGTAATAAAATTATCATAATGAATTAGTTGAGAAAATACAGTAGTTTAAAATAAATTATGGTAATTTATTGTAGATGTTATTTATATTTTGATTGAGTTATAAATATAAGTTATGACTTAAGAAGGCATAAAATGACAATTTCATTAATTAGGTGTCTTTCAATCATTAGAGAATACTACTTTTTCTGGAGTTGTACACCAATTTCTGTATGTTTTGAATTTCTATTTTCGTAAAAATATTTTTCATTTAGGGCTGGGCATTGCCTAGTGGTTAGCATGTAAGATAGTGCATCTGAGGATCCATGGTTTGTATCCCATTGCAAAAAGAAATGCACTCTGCACTTTGGGGCTGTGAGTGCATTATAAAGGTGATGCCAAATCCATCTACTTGAAGTAACCCAAGTGTTGGCAGTGGGTGGTATTAACTAGCTGTCTCCCTCTATCAGTTCAAACTTAAGAATAGCTAGCAAAAATAACTCTTGTGTGGCTTTCATGAATATCTGAAACAACTGAACTTTTCATATCCATATTTTCTTATTTGGTTGTTGTTAGTTGTTGTGATTTGTTAATGCAAAACTACACAATGGACCCCGGATTTTGGTGTTGTAAGTCTGTGAACTTACTGCTGACCCACCTACATTCTTCTTACTTAGGTGAAAATGTATTTACCAATTAAAAGACATAAAATGAGAATTTTCATTGTTTAATAGTAATGGTCACTGGTTGCTAATAAACTTGTTTAGCAAAGATTGTCAAACTTGCTAAGTAATATTCAATTTAACTTGTAAAATATGAATCAAATGTTATGGTGACTAATGAAATTTTAGTTAATTGGTATCAAATCTTAAACTTTATAGAGCTACAAATTTCTAAGAAACAAATAAGACAATCTTATATTGTGAACTGTGGTGTCTGTCTGAGTGTTTGTCTGTCTCCCATTTGAAAAGCTGTGCACGCAGAGAAAGCTCATTTTGAAATGATGGCATAACAGGCATGGATAATGTTGATGTCACATTTTATTTTGCAAGCAGGATATTCTACACAGTTGTTAGGAGTTAATCAAAATATCATTCACATTTCAAAATGTGATGCAACTTAAAGAATAAAAACTTAGGTTTTCCACATGTTGTTGTTGAGGGGCTCTTAGCATGACTGAAATGTTCAACAATTACTTTTTGCGATGGGTGGTATAAGTAGCTCAGGCTTTGGCTCTGAGTGAAACCAAGAGTGTAACACAATTAATCTCTTTAAAGTCCATGAAATAATGTATATTGATAGATTAACTTAAACTTTTCCCATCACTGGAAACAGGTACTTTTGTTTGTTAGTTAATATTTCAACAGAGAATTACAAATAGTTAGAACTTGTAAAACCAATCATTTTAGTGAGAAATTACTTCTTGTAAAGTACAAACTAATAATTCATAATAAGTTTTAATAATGATAGCAAACTAACCCTGGGTACTTTTATAATTAATGAAAAAAATATAAAGTACTCATAAAAATGTTTGGAATCACTGGCATTCTGACTAACTTGATTGTGCAAATATAAAACTTAATAAGATTTACAGGTTTATCAAATGTATTATATCCTGCATACCATAAGCGAGAGATCTGATTTTTGGAAGATGCAGCATTTTAGCATTATAGATCTGGACATTGTTATGAATAAATGTGTACATTGTCCTGTGATTGAGTTTTTTTTGCTCATTTGAACTGTGTGTGTTGCTTTATAGTACACATATCAAAGTGATATAGGAGAAGTGCAAGCCACCTTAACAGTTATGTGGAATGGAGACACTTTCATCGACAGGACTAATAGTAAGTTTTTTATTTCGTTTTTTAAGTATATGGTTTTATGAACTAAGTTATTAACATGTTTAATCTTTCTGAATTAAAGAATACTTGATATTAATTACTCCAATCAGACAAAAAAATTAAGATAGTACACAATGTTCTTTGTAAGAATGGCCTTGTTAACACAAATTATTGTTATCAAAATGAGTATAATTTAAATATTCAAGCTGTTTAGTGCATTAAGTTGTCTTGAAACAAGAGCTACACAAGAATAATGGAGATTGGGCACAGGTGCTTTGCAAGTAAATATTAATAGGAGGTTTAAGTTCATTGTCAAATGATACATGCATGGAAACTACTATATTTGGTCACCTCACATGAAGTTAACTTTTCTTAATATATATTCATACATCAGCATAAATTTATAATTTATATGTATTATTTTTGATTAGTGGATTTAAAAAGTACTTGAAGATTCATTGTAACACAAGTATTGCACCAATAACTGCTTCATTTCAGATTTTTCATAAATATATGTATACACACACATGCACACTGAGGAATGCAGTATTTCTGTGAGGTATTGTCAGTATTTTTATTTTCCTTTTTAAAATATGCACGTATTAGGTACAACACAAAGAGAGCTTCTAAATAAATAAACACTTCACAGGCCTGCTAATTTTTTTCTCTTGTAGATGCATCTGATAATCCAAGTTTATTTAAAATAAAACAGACACACATTATGTCACTTAAGAAAAATTTTATTTTTATCTAGTAACTTTGTATAAATGCCACCTATTGGGAAGTCATAGTGGGCGTGCAGACTGTTCGTTATGTCTGACTAGGAGTCATAAATACCAGTGTGCATGGTGTGGAAGCAACTGTGGCTATAGTGGATCTTGTACAGAACCCATTGTTAGCTCCTGCCCTCGACCTCGTATTGACTGGGTAAGCAATATTTGTAATATGTGAGGAATAATAAAAAAATTAAGTGTGTGTTTCAATGTATGTGAACTTGTTAAAGAATTATTATCTAAACAGTTGTTTTGACTGGATGTATGCATACTTGCATATCAACATGTGCTTGCAATCAGAGTAATTATTACTATTCAGATAGTTACATTATTGAATTCAAATCTCAACCTTCCAGAAATGTGTTTGAACCAGATGTAATTTTTGCAAATTGGCCTTCTAAGCAATTTTCTCCTATGTTTAGTCTAAAATGAATGACAACCATATAAGCTGCTTTAGATATTTACCTAATGTTTAATCTTTGTTTTCAGGTTATTACCTATATAATGAATGAATAAATATAATTTTTTTTTCAAGATTCACCCTTTAAGTGGACCCATCGAAGGAGGAACTCTAGTAGTCATTGAAGGTTCCAACCTTGGAGCTAGTGAGGAAGAAATAAAAGACAAAATCACCATTGGGGGAATACACTGTATTCCTGAGGAATACAGTATTTCTGTAAGGTATTGTCAATATTTTTATTTTACTTTTCAAAGTATGCACATATTAGGTACAACACAAAGAGAGCTTCTAAATAAATAAATACTCTCAGCTACATAGATGGATAGAAACATTTACTGAAATTTTATTCAACATTTTTAGTGATAATAGTTCTGAAAATATCATAAGCATTCAAATAGCTTTAAGGTGTTTATGGTTATCTGTAAAACTAATGTCATTGGTAATTAAAACATCACAATAAAGGTTAATCATGGTAATAAATTTAATTAAGTTGTAGTTGTGTATCTTAAATATAGTATTGCTCATAATGTATAGTAACACTTCTGGTATTATGATTATTTTGACAGCCTTAATGCATCACTGAAGATGTTCATGTGGTCTATTTGTATAGAGGTTTATGAATACCTTTTGGAAACGTTGAATGTAGTATCTTTGTAAACCTTCATTGAAAGTAACATTTTTTGAATGTCATGTAAAAACATTTTGTTGTGATCCACAACTTTTTGAGCATGCAATGTGAGTTATAAGTATTTAACAAACTAACTGATATTTTTCTCCTATTAAATACTGTCACAATAAAACTTCTGTACACAATATTAATTTTTAGTTATGATCTATGTAGGTAGCTTGCTTTGGATAATTTTGAATTTTGTACAAAGCTACTTAATTGAGGGCTGCCTGAGCTAGCCATCCCGTATAATTTTGAAGTGATAGACTAGAGGGAAAACAGCTATTCAACACCTTCACTACCATTTCTTAGGCTGCTCTTCATCAACAAATAGTGGGATTGACTGTTACACTATAATGTCCTCTGACCCACAGTTTGTGAGTTTAGCACCTTAACCAGCATGCCATGCCAAGAATTTAAAAAGGGGAAAAAAAGGAGGTTTTTGCAGTATGTAGTTTGAATGTAATAGACCAGATATTACATCCTAACTATAAGTTACTAAGAACATTAGAAACCACAAGGGTATTTTTTTAATTACTGCTATATCTAAATTAAAAAAGTAAACTGAGTACGCAATTTTTTTTTAATGTATTGTGTGGTACAGAGTAACTATTTTAGTTGTGGTTTTGTGTTGCTACCTATGACATAAAAACTAACAATTTACACTTTTTTTACAGCTAAAATATAGTGGTCGCAAATACATCATCGTAACATTTTTGAACTGAAAACATAATTTTTAGCACATTTCATTTGACTCCATTCTAAGACTAGGGAGTGGTATTGAAAGAATTTAATGAAAAAGAGACCTTATTGCCACCTGTTGATGCTTCTTATTATTCGAATAAACAAAATAGGTTAAGAACATTTCTATAAAACTGGTGTATTTTTGAATAGTTATTTGTCATAATAACTTCCCAATATGTACATTTAGATATGAAAATAACTAAAACAAGTAAAACAACTTGGGGATCAAAGAAAAAACTTCAACATTTATTGCTTAAGAGTAGTAGACAAATTACCATTTTCCAAACTCTCAGCTTGTTAAGAAAAAGCCCTGTTTTTAGGATATCATTAATAAATTTCTTTTTGTGGCATATATTACTGTCACAGTTTTAAAATTTTAATAATTTTGAATTTTATTGGATAATTTCTTTTCTTTATAACTGGTATACCTTTTTAACAAATCTAGTTTCTTAAGTATGGATGGTTTTCATTCACTGATGATATGTACTTTTTTTCCATATTAACATGACATAACATTTAGGGACAACAGTGGACCTATTGGTCCATCTTGGCTGTTCCATCCTCTAAACTAAACTATTATAAATGTAAAAAAATATCTTAAAGCCAGCCCTTATCATTCATATAGTTATCAAGCTTTCTCTTAAACTTACTTAAATTTACTGCCTCTGCAACATCTGAAGGCAACACATTCGAGAAGCCAACCCTGTTAGAAAAATAAAACTGTCTTAGCTTAAGATGACTTCTACTTTGCCAAAATTCATATCTCTGTTCCCTAGTACTATATTCTCACTGTTAAGTATGAAAAAAGATGATACGTCAACACTATCAATTCCCTTTACAATCTTAAATCCCTCAATCAGATCCCCACTATCTCTTCTTTTTTCAAGGGAAAACAGTTTCAAAGATCTTAATCTCTCCTCATATGACAAACTCTCATAACCCTTCTCTGAACCCTTTCTAACAATTCAATGTCATTCCTAAGGTAATAAGCCTAAGATTGGACACAATACTCCAAATGTGGACTAGTGACCTATACAATGAAGGTATATAACCTCATTAGACTTGTATTCAATATTTCTGTAGATATAACCTAAAATCCTATTTGCCTTACCACTAGCGACAGCACACTGCTTGGATGGCTTAAGAGACTAATAAACCATTACACCAAAATCCCTTTATTTCATGACACTCTTAAGGTTATTCCCATCCAAATTATATTTATAATTCAAATTATGATATCACACATGCATTATCTTGCATTTATTATAATTAAAACCCATCTGCCATTTATTTGCCCAACTCACTAAATGATCTAAATCCTTTTGTAAATCAGCAACATCCTCTTCACAGCTAGCAACACCCAAAACCTTAATATCATCTGCAAATTTAAGTAATTTATTGATTATCCTTTCATCTATGTCATTGATATAAATAAAAAAAGAGCAAAGGTCTTAAGACTGAGATCTGAGGTACCCCACTTATAACATTAATCCAGTTTGACTGAACTCCATTTATAACAACCTTCTGCTTTCTTCCATATAGCCACTCTTCTATCTAATTATCTAACTTATACCCCAAATTATAAGAGAATTTTTGTACAAGCCTTTTATGGAGATTATGTGAAATGTATTTATTTTTGTGTACTTGGAATAAATTATTTATAATATAGTTCAAACATTTTTGTAATATATTCATTAAAGAAGTACATTAAATTAGTGTGCTACATAATTCCAGAGTGGTATGTCGAACTGGTTCAAGTTTAGCTCCAATGGAAGCTGTTCTCATGGTAGGAAACAAAGCTGGAGTTACTAAAGCACAGGAGATGTTTTATTATAAGGTACATAAAATTTAAAACCAATTTTAATGTTCTACATTTCTAGTGAAAAGTTGTTCAATGTGCCTGAATAAGTTTTCTATCATAAGGATCTTTGTAAGTTGCAAATGAAACTTGTTGTATGCATGTGTATGTTAGTTGTACAGTTTAGATGGTAAATATACTATATTTTGGTAACTTTTTATAATAATCTAATGTTCATCCTTTTTTTAAATGTTTAATTGTGCTCTCTGGTACTTCAATGGTTGGCCAAAAATTTGATCAAATGTGGTTAGTTACAAAACATAAGGTACAACTAATTACTATCTACATAATGTTTATTATAACCAATACAGTAGATTACTATATTTAACTGTTGCAGCTGTTTGATAATCAATCAAAAGAAATGTATATTTGAAGCATATGAATAATTAATTGATATTGCTTTTTGAAAGTTGTAGTTATCTATCTGTTTTGAAAATTAGTTATTGTTTTTTGTACTGAGCAACTAAAACTTATGTTTAATATTACTGAAAAGCTTTGCTTTCAAATATGATTAGTATTGAGCATAAATGAAATACACAAGTTTTTGCAAACGTTATTTTTTTAAACAAAATATTTAAAACTTGATACTCCTTAACACATTCAAGTGGTTTCTTTTCAAACTTTTATTTGTGAATTGTTCAACATTGTTTTGAAGTACTTGTGCATTGTTTAACACTGTTTTGATGTACTTGCTTTTGTTTTTTGTAACTAAGTTGAAGTCGAGATAGAAAGAACTTGAATTAAAAAGTTACAAGAGTGTCCTTTGAAAAAGAATGTATATCATGTTTTTAAGATTGTTTGAAAAATATTATGTAATTCCTTTGACATGATCATCACATCATTATATATATTTATGACTAGTTCAATTTCAATTTAAGTACATTTACAAAAACAAAAGATAAAATGCATACAACAAAATAAAATGCAAGTCCCACATATATTGTGAAGTTTTTTCATATAGTATGATTAATTTTCAAATTCTATAAATACTAGTTTTTTATAGCTAGGTTGCTTGTTGCTATATTGTGTTATTTGTCAAAACAGTTTCTTTCAGTGGTGAAAAAAGAACTACTTACAAGAAAGTTCTCTAAAAATTATGTATATCCTGTATTATTATGGTAACAAAAATAACTCGCTAATACGTTACAAAAACCTTTCCTTTAGCCACAAATTCTTTAGCTACTAGCATTATATAGAGCCACTTGTCTCATGTATAAAATTCTGTCATTAAAGATTTGTAGCCTAGATTTTCGTAATACACAGCTTGTGCAGATGAGTTTTGTGTACTTAAGATAACTCTTGGAACAGCATGTAGCTTGTGACACTGTAGTCATTACAATACTTCATACTCTTAGGTGTTACAAAGTGTGTTTGATAGAAAATATGTAAGGAAATGATGAATGTGTTGGGTTCTCTGCTTAACAGATGTGATAGCTAAGCTTTGTGATTAATGCAAGTGCATAATAATAAGCAAACAATGAAAAATCACTTCCATCATAGTGATTAATTACAGTTCAGTCCTTTGTTGATTAATTGTGATAACATCAGTTGATAAATGAAGGCTTGTTTCTTGATGAATACATGTAATTACCTTATTTAGAGAAGAAGGTAATTAAAAATCATGTAGTTTAATTCTAATAAGACTTGAACTTATGATAGATTTAGGTTAATTTTTTTGCAAATAAAATTGTTTAGAGATGAATGTAAAGAGACAAAACATTTATTTGTTTGTAGTTAAGTAATACTAGATAATTCTTTCAATAGAAATATTTTGTCAATTGTCCATAAACAAGCTAAAGGATACTGAGGATATGAATGGAGGCATTATTATTGTGTTCCAAGAGTATAACTAACAAATCACATTTACATTTTTAATGTTTTAGTCCTCCCTAGCTAGCTGTACAATTAACTTCTACAGTGTACAGCTGAATTGAACCACTTTATGAGATCAGTCTAAGGTATAGGCAAGTACATATTACCTTGGAATGGTAATCTTATTAAACAAAAAAGTAAAAATTTGGAAAACAAACTATTTAACGTTCCAGTATATTTTCTTGAATATGTTTCCTACAGTAAATTAAGAAATGTTCATAATAGTAAACTAAATATAGGATCAATAAGGTTGGTAAATGAATATATGAAAAAACACCTATATCTTCTGACATGTGGAGCAGTAAAATGTGCTTGAGTTTTTTCAGTTTTGTTTAAATATTATTAAGAAGTACTTAATGCTTTTACATTTTACTTCAAATGTGGAAATATAGAATGTAGGTGCTTTCTTTAAAATCTCCAAATTTGGTGACTCTGAACTTAGAATAACTTCATGTATCTATCTGTTCAATGTTTTTCCAGGAGAATCACACCATTTTTTAACTGAATTTGTGAAATTAAATTACAACCATATAAACCCCCCTCCAACACATACACCTATGTTAAACTTGGTTACTGCTATTCCTGGTGCTATAAAAGCAGGAGGTTCTTTATTGATGAGTTTTTTTTTTATTATAATCAACAAATTTTATGTATGATAAGTAAGTAAGGAATTTTTAAATAATTACACTTGTCATCATTAAAGGAGGTTACACTGGAAAATATGTATCCAAAGCTTGGTCCCCAGTCTGGTGGAACAAGGGTCTACCTCACTGGAAGGAACTTGAACATTGGAAGTGAAGTGGAAATTTTTCTTGATGACCTTCCATGTCGAGTAGAAAGGTAATTTACCATTATCTTCAAAAACTGTTATCAAATTGGGAATTACTGAGTACTTGTTTCTGAAAAATAACATAAAGCTGCTTTATTAAAAGATAATTATTTCTTATATGAATGGTTTTTAATATATACACTGAAACTGTCAGCTTCTAAATGTCTGCCTGTTTTAAAGACTAACTACATTTAAGTAGAATTTTAAAGGAAATATTTGTATTATAGTGAGAAAAAAATTTTTATTTTTTTTAAGTTTTATTAAATATTCTTTTATATAAGTATAATTCACAAGACTTAATGCTTATTATTAAGTAAAACACATTTTGTTACATTTTTGTAACAGCATTTAAAGTTGAGAAATTGTTTATTTATGTATTCTGTAAATCTTTTTTCATCCCCATATCATTGTTGGCAAAAAATGACACCTTGCGTATTCTTTGTAAATTGCATGTTCAGTACATTATTCTCATAAAACATCTTATAACATTGTTTTTTTTTATACAAACACTCACATAAATGACAGCTTTTCTAAAGTGTACAAATTGGAACATCATCTTGAATTTTTTACTTAACCTCAGTAGTATTTTTATGGAATACTAGAATTTTCAGAAAATGGTATCGGTTATTAAAGTATGAAATTGCAGTGTGACTACCATTTTGCTAACAACTTATTTTTATGTACTAAAAACTGTATTTTTCAATTACATAAAAGTATTGTTATTTTTTTTTAGTTGATGACAAATCAGATTTTGTTTTAAAATGATGAAAGTTTGTAAAGTACATTTAAAAACTCATAAATAACTGAACCATTCATTACCAATTCATTTCTTTAATTGTGACATAGAGGTATTGTTCATACTAGATAAAACACAGCCTACCAATAAGTAAAAAAGACACTTCAGAATACAAATCTTTCATTTCCATGACATCAGACTTAAATAAGCCCAATGTATAAATATAAAAGAATAACTTGATAGAAACCACAGAATACAAGTGACCTTTCAATGAATGAAATAATTGCAAGAATTAACCATATGTTTACAAGATCACATAGTTGGACGAGGGAAAGGTTGTCATAGTCAGCAAGAAATCACCAGGTGTGTACTTTTAATGGTGTATAGAGCGACAATGCACTTGGTCACATTGGGAAAATAACAGTTTTTGCACAGCCCAGGTACCCAAAATGAAAACATTCATCCCAAACAACTAACTTCCAGTCCCATAGCAGAATCCAGTCCCATAGGCCTAGAATTCAAATCTTGTAAATACAATCTGTAACTATGTTCTTGTCAAGACTGTCAAAAGGGCAGATTCACTGAATAATTAATGGTACTTTTGTACCCCTTGTTTTGTGTTACTGTTAATTTATATAATAAAATGTCATTCTCTCTATTTATAGACTGTTATTTCCTATAAATTGGGTTAAATGAAAACCTTGTCATCAATCATATGCTTAGTAGTTACCACAAAAGTTGGATATTATATGAAATAAGTTTTCTGTTTGAGAATAGTAAATGGTAATACCATAATGTTTTCTTCAATGTAAGCTTCTGTAGGAACTTAAAGTACTAACTTAAATTTTTGACATTTTGTATTTTAGGCCACTTGCCAGTAGTAGCCAGCTGAGCTGCCGTACTACCCGTGCCCCTGTGCCATCTTATAGTATTCAACAACTGTTATTAAGGATTGATAATACCAACTTAAGCCTTAAAGATTCATTTCTCTATACACAAGACCCTAGCATTAAAAAAATTGAGCCACTAAGAAGTTACTTCAGGTGAGTGTATATAATGGGTATGAAAAATAAATGACCTTAGTAATGTTGAAATGACTAAATGTCCAAATACTTTCTGTTGTCATACAAATAAGTTTCTTCTCTGACTAAATAATATCCATAAAACTAAATTTTAAAGTTACAGAAATTTATTAGGTAACTACACAGTGAATAATTTAACTGTAACGGTGAGGATTAATTATTATCCAATGTAGGAGAAGTCAAACTGTAAATTTGTCTGTATAATTTGGTATATGTTTTACAAAAATAATTATACTGAAACATTGCATGAAGTGGTGAAGTGATCAGTTTATAATAATGAAATAAAACGTATCTTTTACATACTTATAAAACATTGGTTTTCATCTTTAGTTTCTCACATTTAACTGAATGTGTATGGGGTTGGTATATTGGACCGACCCCATATTGGAGAAGGAATGTTGATTGTAATTCCAAATTGATAATGAAATGTTATATTCAATTGATAAACTTTTATTTCTTTTGAAGAATCCTCCTATTCTAGAATCCTCCTATAAGTAAATCTTCCCTGTTTTTGATATTTTAGTGGTGGCCGAGTTCTCAGAGTGATTGGTACTAACTTAACCTCTATTCAGCAGCCACAAATGGTGGTTTTCAGTCATACAGGAGTAGTGAATAAAACTGTAAGTTTTTTGTTTAGAGGTAGTATAAGAAAACTGATTGAAAAAGCTAAGTTTGTCTATCAGTACAAAAATGTATAACTGGCATTTATTATTATTGTGTTCCTTTTTTTTGATTATATACATAATTATCATGTTTTTAGAAGTTCTACAAATTATTTCAAATTGTTTCTTAAATATTTTAGTTTATTGATAAGGTTTCACAGTACAAATGTATAAAAGTTTGTAATACTTTGATTCTTTTCATAGTTTTGCACAGTTGTCAACACCAGCATGATGATGTGTCCATCACCAGCTGTACATTCTGAGGTGTATAGGAGAAGTAAGCCTCAGATTCGCCCACGTCACACAGTCAAAAACATTGTACTGAGGGTTGGGTTTGTGATGGATGATGTTCAGTCAGTTCGAGAGCTGGAACGTTATTACAAAACACTTGAGACCAACTTACAATATGTGCCTGACCCAGAATATGCAGAGTTTGGAAATGAAGGAATCAAGTTATACAAGGGAGAGAGCCTTGTTATTGAGGTGATTAACCATAGATTTTTATATGAATTATTAACCTGATATAATGCAATGTTTTTATTACTCATTACACCCAATCAACATGCATCATGCATGCAGTGAAAAATTTTCATAGGAAAATAGCTTTTTTTTATTTTGTGGGGAATTTCAACTCTTTTTTCTAATAATTAATGCAAAAAAGTTATTGTTCATATCAAATTAACAGTATTATTAATTACTTGGCTAAGTATTTCAGAAAATTTTAATTACAATAACTTACTGTATTTGAAAGATATATTGTGAAAGGATAAACTTTTTTTAAGGAAGAAATTATCTGTTTACCTCCAGCAATAATTGTAATGCCTTTTATTTTCATTTGACTTAAATATAAACAAGTTTCATCTAAGTGTTTGGGACAAAATGATTCAACAGGGAGAAAACATGAGGCTAGCAAGCACAGAGAAAGAAGTGAATGTTACTATTGGTACACGCAGATGTAACTTGACATCCTTGAGTATGTCACAGCTGGTATGTCTTCCACCAGAGGTGCAACCACCTGGTATGGATGAACTGGGAAGAACAACAGAAAATAACTTACCATTAGTTGTGGTGAGCTTTAATTTTTATGATTAGTTTTATACTTGCAAAACATTTTCTAAACATGCAAGTTTTCACCTTCATGGGTTAAGCAAATTACTGAGTATACAAATACCTTGATCTATCATTTGTATTTGTTTCATATATAATATCAAGTAATAACAACCAAAATGCAAATTTTTAAGCTACTGGCCCATAATGATTGAGGGTTAATACTGTTAATATAATGGCCATTTTCTTATCTAGTACAGTTAAATGTTACTTGAGAGTAATTTTTAAACCTTATATCTTTCTGTTTATGCAACCATTTCTTTCAGTCAGCATCCTTTGTGTTAAAATTAATTTCTTCTTCAGTATATAGTTCAATCCATCAATCCTTTAAAATATCTTGCGTGGCTCTTGTTAGTTACCAAAGGAAATAATACACTTAATTTATTTTTTGGTGAGAGATGTGAATCTAATTTGAATCTTTAGAACAAATAAAATATGTAAGCCAAAAAAGAAATAGCTCACTTTTTTTTGTTATTTTGTTACTAAAACGTACTAAAAATTTGAATGTATTGTACTACTATCAATAGAACTTAAATTTCCTGATTATTCACATACTTAAATTTTGTTTTTAATAAAAGTTTAATTTATTTAGTTTTTCAACACTACTTCCAGATCAGGGTTGGGAAAAACCTTCGTTACGAGGTTGGTTACTTGCGCTATGAAGTTGCCAAGATATACGAGTTTCCACCTGAAGCTATAGGAGGTATTGCAGCAGGTGGGGCCTTATTGATGGTGGTGACTCTCATTATTCTGGCTGTTTTAAGATACAAAAGTTCTCAGGCAGAAAGAGAGTATAAGAGGATCCAACTTCAAATGGATACACTTGAAAATAGTGTACGATCTGAATGTAAACAAGGTAGGAAGTAATTATCTTGTCAGAAAATTATAGCAACTAATTAGTTTACTACTAGAATGAAAACAAAGTAAATGACTTATGTAATATTTTTGTTTCACATTAACAAAAAAATAATACTGTGAGCATTTAGATCTCTTTTAAATGTATCAGTTCATGTTGTTATATTAATCTTGATTCAGTTACTATTGTTTATATTGTAGCATTTGCTGAACTTCAGACAGATATGACTGATCTTAACAAGGATATTCAGACCACAGGTGTTCCAACTTTAGATCATCGAACATTTGTAATGAGAGTGTTCTTCCCAGGGATGGCAGAAAATCCAGTTTTGAAGGAGTTTAAGGTAAAGAAAATTTTAATTGTTTAGAAAGATAAAAAAGAAAATTAAAATTAATAAGTATTTTACACAAATTAATTCTGAACATACAAAAATATTGTTACTTGTATTTTTACTTTGCATTAGAACATGTTGGGAATTACTATTTAATGAATGTTAACAAATGCTTAGAATCAAATTAACCAACATAGACTTATTGCAATGAAATACAGTTTACTTTGATCTGTTTTTAAGTTAAACTTTTTTAAATGAAAGGACTAAAATCATAAATTGTATTTTTTAAGAAGTGACCTGGAAAATACTTTTATATAAATATCCTGTTGCATATACTCTTGTAGAAATTTTACCAAGATAAGTTATACCATTTTATCAATAATTATTTATCAGTTATACATCACTCCTGTTAGTGAATAGCAGAAATGTAACATTTTCACTTTTTATAATATTGTGGATTTTTCATGTACAAACTTTTAGTTAATTGATAGTTAAGGGACAGTTTTAGGGCCTTCTTAAATTTTGACAGTGGTCTTTATCAAGATTTATTTAACATTTAACAGATTAAATATGATTTGCTGTATATGTAAAAAATCAAGTGAATTGTTAAGCAGAAGATACTGCATGTAGGGTGATTTTAGAAGTTTTTACACATATGCTTGGTTGTTTACTAGAAAGATTAAATAAATTTTACACTACTTTTATGGGTAAAGACTTCTACAGAGTGTATATGAAGATTCAAAGACGTTTTGTAAAATCATTACAGGATACAGTTACAGTTAGTGGATTTTTAAGAGTTACCCCTTTTCTGAGTTTAACTACCTCAATGAAAATACTTTCTAACACAGATCAAAGATATGGAATTTCCCACTGTATCTAACAGTTTCTATTTATACTATCTCCTAATAACATATATTATGATTTTTTTTTAATGCTTTACATTTATATATATTCTGCATACACAGTTTGTTTCATTGAACTAGTTAAGAGAAAGAAGTGACTCATGCTCAAACTAGATATTAGTGACATTCTTTGATGGCTAAATGTGTGGTGTACATGTTAGAAGCTTAGTCATAAGTATAATTATTTGATGTATCAATTTGATTTAGTAATAATTAGAAAAATGAATAATTGTCAATGGTCCAACTCTACTCCAAGCATCCTTTTAGTGTAAGTCAGTGATGAGGTGTGATAGTTTTCATTTATTGACATACTAATACTGTAATTCCTGAAAATGCCACATGCAAAAATTGAACCAGGGTCTGTGTATGCTTGATATGTTTTAAAGTGTTAAATCCCAGGGGGCAGTAAAATAATTTAAAGTACGAATGATATTATAGGCTGTAAATGTCATGGGTTATATAAATAATATTGTGGATTCTCATATAATTAAAATTTAAGATTTAAAGATTAAATTTTATCATATTTGTGTCCAGCAAAATAATTTTTTATCCATTAAAATATAATTTCCCCCCAAAACAGGTTTTCATAATGCATTCAATTTTTGTTCAAGAAAATTGTGACAAACTATTTTATTGATTATTTCAAGGTATCTCTTAAATGTTTTAAAGTTTGTAAGAATGTGCTGATGTATAAAAATTGCAATTTATATGAACTATGAAATATTCAAACAAGTAACAGTAGTGTGCATTTAGTTTATGCTTTACCTCCATAATACATGTTATGCTAAGGAAACATTTTTACAGGGGAACTGTCTTTCATGTCTATTACATGACGCTTTTTAACTGAAGATGAAATTTAGGTCTTAGATCAGATAGAAATGAATCATTTAATATGATTTGTTGAAAATTTTTAAGGAAAAAAGTAATAAAGTATTTAAAGTAGCTGATTAGGTTTTGTATATAAATATTTTACTAACATACTTACTGCAATTGTTATTTTGAGCAATTAAAATCTTAATTTTTATTTTTCCCTCAATCATTTAGACTGATTGTGTATGAAGGATTAATGAGCACATCATACAAGTTAAAAATAATAAAGAGTGACATGTTTTGTATGAATATTGATGAATCAAAGGAGCTAGAGCTTCTTATTATCTGAATTTAGAATTAATAAGCAATGTGCATGTTATTACATGTTTTCTAAGTGTCATGTCACCATTGGGTATTACAAACTAACTTAGGAAAATTTCATATGTTTCTTATTCTCATGTGTTTGTAGCAACTGGATGGACTTAGAATCACACATCAGCTAGCAATGACCCAGTTTGAACAACTGCTTTACTGCAATTCTTTCTTGTTAACCTTAATTGATAAAAACATTTTATTCCTTTGTGTTTGTAGCAACTGAATGGACCTAGAACCACACATCAGTTGGCAATGACCCAGTTTGAGCAACTGCTTTACTGTAAGCCTTTCTTGTTAACCTTCATTGACACATTAGAGAACCAGAAAACTTTCACAATTAGAGACAAGTAAGTGTGAAATTCAACTTTTTATCTTTACAAGTAATATGTGAAAAGGTTTTAAAAAAAGATTCCAATTTCATAATTTTAGAAACTTCATGTTTCACAATATACTGATCACTACAAAACAGTGATCATGAAGTATTTACAGATCAGTCACAGAATGTTTTTATATAGTTGTATGTTTTTAAAAACCATGTCTCATGCAGGAAGTAGAGATGTTTTTTTGCCCAACAGCAAACTCCTTTGAAGGATATGCTAGTTACAATTACATTCTTATTACTGTAAATTTAATAAAGGCATATGTAAAATTCACTTAAAAATTGTAGACTGCCAAATCTGTAACAAAATGAAAATAGCTTAACCTTCAGAAAAGGCTGGAAAATTCTGTCTTAAGTTAAATTATTCTCAAATTTCAAAAGTAATTTTGGAAATTAATACATGATAAATTAATATGTATTACATTTAACTCACTATTAATGTGTATTATTTTGTATGCAAACTTGTAGTCACCTTATGTTTTATATTACTCTACTAATCGTAAAACTACTGAAAATAACTCTTTAATGAATAGATGAAGTGTGCTTTTAAGAAAACAGTCACTAACTAACATGTTTTGAGTTAAGTGCAACATGACAGTAACCAAGTAGTCTTCTGAATTGATCAACAAACCTTAAATGTTTTCTGATAGTGTGTTTATTTAAAAAAATGCAATTAAAGATTTTGACATTCTTTTGAATTTTTTTGCATTTTCTACTGTTGTCTAAAACGTATAAACACATTTATTTTCAGATATGTTGTGAATGCAACAGTTTATTTCAAAAGAAAGTAAGTTTAGTGTATTTTATGTCAACGTTTTGTTTGTTTTAAATATTTCAAGAGCAGGATTTTTATGGTAATTAACTAACATTTCATTTTTCCTCAAACAGGGTGAATGTGGCATCTCTTGTAATGATCATTTTGTTGGAGAAATTAGACTATGCTACAGAGTAAGTACAGTTGTTAAGCAGTTATAGAATGATTTAATTTGATTGTATCTTGATTACAATAACTTTTTTATAATTTGTTAATGAACAGACTAAACTGTATAACGTTAAATTGCATGTGAAGTATCTACTATACAAATAGTTAAATAATTACTGATGGATATGCTTTTTTTTTCACAACCAAGATTTTAGTCATTAAAACAAAATGGTGTACTTCCATGCATGCTGCATGAGAAGATAAAGCTGTATCATTGAAAGGGTGCATTAAAAAGCATAAAATTAATAAGCAGACTTAAGGTTCGTTCAAAGCAAATGTGTGACATAAGCATACAAAAAGGGTAAAGAATTGGGCTGTTTCAATTAGCTGTTAACTTTAGGTCTTCTCAGTTTTTCTGTTAGCAGACTGGTTAATAATTAAAGTTTAAATCTAGCAATTCTTTTGCAAGAATTTGAATCCATAGTTTTTATTTGTTTTGTTTTCATTAATTGTTTCATATTTATAGTGCTTGAAACCTTCAACATATATTAACAAGTTCATCTTAATTTGTAATTTAGGATACTTCAAGAACTTCTATTAAAACTGATACACAAGTATGTAGGAACCAAACATCCACAGTTGATGCTTAGGAGGTAAGGTTTCTACATGCACTGAATTTTGTAATTTGTTAGTGTTATTTCTATTTTATTTTTCCATAAACTATGCTCATCAGTTGGCTATTATGTCCTATGTATAGTATTATTTGATAGTATACATATATTTTACTTTGTGTCATAATTTCCTATAAATCATTTACAGGGCGTGAACTTTATCCTCCAAAATAATAACAAAATAGAATAACATCAGTATGTTTCTTAAATTAAAAACAAGTGAATCATTTATTACAAACAAAATGGATGCCTATGTATTTTTAGAAATCTGTAGAAATTTACTATTTAAACTACCTTTTCTGGCAGTTCTTATATTGTTAAACAATTACATGATAAGTGATGTAAAGCTAAAGATGGTAGATGGAAAGTGTTGTTTACCAACAATGGCTCATGGATAATATTGAGGAGGAGGCCAGTGAAAGTTTATCCCAAATCTCAAAAATATAGAACAGTAAAAAGTTACATACTTCGGTTGTCTCAATTTATTTAAGTGAATTCAAGTCATTGGTCTTTCATAGCTCTAAACATATTGATAACCACCAACTGTCATCATGCCAGACAAGAAGTGACTATTTTTCAAACTACAATACTCCAAAATAGTCTCTAAATCAAGATAAATCATCATACTTTTTAACCAAGTTACTGCACATTAATTAAACTCACTTTTAATTGTTTATATTCTTAAAAAAAAACAATCACATAATATTAGATTTATACCAGCTCTTGATCACTACAACCTTGTGGGCCTTGCATGCTCCTTTTCTTGAAATGATTTTCATTTTTTTTTTAAACCTAAATTCTAATTGGTTTCATTAGCTGTGTGGCCAGCCTCAAAATTTTTGTTAAACCCAGTAAGTTGTTTCTGAAGCATGTATAGAGAAATTGTACAGATAACAAAAACCAAAAAAAGGAAAAATTTTGCTACAAAAAATATGCACATTTCAAGAATTTTACTCCCAAAACAAATAAAATGGTTATTAATTTAAAAAAGTAAAAAATAGTTTATTTGTCCAAGATCTTTGAGGAGGAATGGCCTTCTTTTCCTCCTCTGAGCCACCAATGATTTTATGAGAGAGAAAATATTATACTCTGTATTAATGCTAATAGTAACAAGAAGTATTTGAAGTGTGAATTAGACATTGCTTGTAAACTTTGTTTTTACTGTGTATGTTTTTAGTTTAGTCATGGTAATTGTTTGAGACTGAAGTTTATATAAAGGTTTGAAAAAGGAAGGATTACAAAAAGGCTAACTTTTGCACAAGTTAGCTACTTTCTAAATCAAAGCCTTGATATTTCTGTGAACATTAGTTTTGTGCAAGGTAAATTGTCTAGTAATATACTTTATAAAATTTGTTAATAATAAAATTACAATTCAAAAACCAATGTTAGTAACAAATATATTGAAAAATGAGATAAATGTAATTAACTGTTTGACTGTCCATTTTATAAAAGTTAAACTTGCTATCATGCACAGTTAATGTGTGTTTTTCTCTCTTTTTTTTTTTCATAATCTGTTGTCTAGGACTGAATCTGTGGTAGAAAAACTGCTAACAAATTGGATGGCTGTCTGCATGTACAACTATATAAAAGTAAGATAAAAACGTTCTATTTTAGTAGCTGCTACTTGTATAGCATTTTCATAATGTTTTATTTTGTTGCTAGAAATAAAAGATAAACAGAAAACTCATATTTTTTTGTAAAGAGAGAGAAAAACAAGGGTTTTAATTTTTGGTTATCATTAAACATTTGTTTTTGAAGATATGCTTCAGAAGGTCCTTCATTTGTTTTTAAACAACACATAGTAAGATTAATAGGGTTGGGGTGTGGTTGATTCATTAAGCTGAGGATTCTGGTTGATATCTTTATTTCGAGATATTCATTTTACAGTTGTCCAGCTTATGGCCACCTGAACTGTTTTGGGCCATCACAGTTTATTAAATATCTAACTTAAACTGTTACATAATCAACTCAACAATTGCTCTGAACTGTCAGATATGCAGTGCTCAATGATAAAGAACTTAAGGTTTATTATTGCTTGAGAAAGAAATTACATAATATAATTTAACTTTCTTAAATACAAACAATGTGTAGGTTTTATTTCACCTTGACTTATTGTTTCTCTAAGGATGGTAACTGAGCTGTAGGACATTTGAACACATATGGTTCTGGTTTTAAAATACTGGTCCAAGAGTCTTGGAGAGAAAAAGAATTTTAATTCAATTTTAGGTTCAAAGTGATTGCTTTTTTATTCATATTATACATTACAATAGGTTATAATAACTCTGAACTAGTTAAGTTATTATATACTATTTTTAAGTCTTTCTAAGACTTTTACAGAATAAGTTTTTTAGGAGTAAGGTTAAACAATTTTTTTTATGCATACTATATTTCTTTAACCTATAAAACCTTCTGAATACCTTTTTGATATTTTAGGACTATGCAGGTAGCTCATTGTTTCTGCTATTCAGTGCTATTAAACATCAAGTTGAAAAAGGCCCAGTTGATTTTATCACCCATGATGCTCGATACTCACTTTCTGAAGAAAGACTTCTTCGTGAGCCAACAGATTTCAGCATTGTGGTAAGTTCTTGAGTCACTAAAGTTTCTTGTAAGTGATTTGTATTAGATTATTCTTCATGTTATGATTACTTTGAAGATAATTTTAAACAACAAAGTTTTTAAAACCACTATCTACTTTTTTATTTAAATCCTGTGCTGCTATTTTTTCAAAGTTGAAATTTCTATTTATGAATGGAATATTTGTCTTTAGTGTTTGAAAATATTTTTTTGAGTTATTTTACTCTTTGACTTCACACTAAAATTTTTATTAATATTGTGATAACAAATCTTAAATATTTTATTCAAATAAGATATTTGTCTTGCTCAGTGAGTAGGAGGAAGTGAAGATATAAGACTAATTTTAATAATTTTTGTAACTAGCCGAAACGTTTATATCCATATTAAGATATTTAAACACAGATTCATGTCATAGCTGCCAGTAATAATAAATTCAGATTACAGATTTTACTTGTAGATAAAACACTACCCAAACTTTCAAGAATAGTAGAAAAAAATTTTTAATTTCCATGTTGTTACAGAAAAAAAGGTGCACCCAGATAAGAGTAAGTTGATGATGTATATATTATTCTGTTGTTTTTAGTGTATTCATGTAGTCCATGAAGAACTGGATGAAAAACTACAGTGCCGTGTCAATAGCTGTGATACAATTACTCAGGTCAAGGCCAAGATTCTGGATGCTTTGTACAAAAACACTCCATTTTCACTGAGACCATCTGTTCGTGATGTGGATTTAGGCAAGCTCTACTCTTACTTACCTTGATGTTCAGTCTCTATAAAGCTAGAATGAAAATATAAAATAGTATTGATAGAAGAAAATATTTTAAGACTGTAATATCCACATGCTTGATGATGATGATAAAAAAATTAAAGATGTATAAGAATCTTCTTTGAATAAATTCACATAAAAAATAATTTTGTGGCACCAAACTACCTAATGTTACTGCATTTATTGATTAAAACAAAAAAAACTACATCCATGGTGAATTAGGGTCTGTAAGTAAAATAGTACACTAAATTGTGCCTTAAATAAAACTGTTTCTGATTATTTTGTGTAATATTATGGCAAGATTTGGGTAATCCTCTAATTGTGCACTCAAAGAAGACCTCAAAGATTGCAATGTTGACCTTGTTCTCATGTGGGTGTTCACAAATTGAAATTGTGTATCAGTTGTGCTTTTAGGTTCCAAAATGTTTATTTTATGTATTTTACAAATTGATCTATACGAGTTTGAGCTGAATATTGTCAAACTGGCCCATGAGCACAAAATGTATTCATTTTATAGAATATTTTTGAAGTGGGATTTTCATAAGATGAATCAGGTGAGCCTTTGAAATAGCTGCCCTACCAACATGTATGGCACGAACAATGGTAAAAAGAATAAAGCAGAAAGAATAAAATTTGTTAAATACACAAATTTTCACAAAGAATATCACTTTAGTAGTTATGAATACTTTTAGAGTCAACCCTTTAAATAACAAACTTTTTGTATTTTATAGAACCTTCAATTGATCGTATAAAGCATGAATTATACTGATAATTCATCTTTTGTAATGTATTATTTAACAGACAATCTGCAGGTAATGCAAACTGCATCATACACTGGTTTTGCCATTATCTGTCAATAGCATCTCTAACGTGTATCAAATATGTATTTTCCTGGCCTTAACTGTAGCAAAATCATGAATTACATCATCATAGTTTTTTTTTTCTGCAACTTCCAATTTGATTGAAAGGATGGCTGAGTTACTGAGACTGACTCATGGTGGCCTGTAGCTTAAGTTTTGATGAGTTTGAGCTTGAAAAGCTTCACTTGCAGCTTGCTATAGACACACACACATTGTGAAGAATATGTGCAGCACAATTGTCAAGTTTGGTAAATATATATTCATTGTAGGACCACTTCACGATCCACTTCAGCAAATCCAGCATTTCCCAATTTGCCACATCATTCCCTATGATGTTCTTGAAGTTTTTTGGTATGGCATTGGAGTAATTAGATCTCTTCCCTGGAAGTTTTGAATTAATTTTTTGTTAAGTTTATGATTGTTTTCAACATTCAAGAGGTCTTTCAAGTTAAGAAATCTGAAGCAGAGGTTTAGATGATTCAGGTGTTGCGATCATCTATCAATTTCACTCTTGAGTCGGTAAATAACCTACAGTTGCTCTTTTCTGATGTTTTCTTTCAGATTTAGACCATGATCATTCAACTTTTCTCCTACCATTTTCCACTTCCTCCTCAACCAGTGCTCAGTTGGGTTGTTCCTTGCAGAACATAATGGCTTTAGTTTAAGCCTGGGTAACATGAAATCCTTTTCTTCACTAAAGAATAATGAAAGAGCATTCATTTCTGCTGCACATTGATCCAACCCATGTTTTTGTAGATTCTTCTGAACATCATTGAGTTCCTTCAGATATACAATGAAATTGTATGACATAATATTGTTAAGAATAATTCAAGCACCATCTTTGGGATCAATATTCCTAGTAATTGATTCTCAAAGTTCCTCAAGCTCATCAATCAATCCCCTATGTTGGATTCATTGGCAGAAATGGCATCATTGTTTATCAGAGTTTGCTTGAGATGATTTATGATGTGTTTTTTTTAAAGTATGTTCCATCTATAAGTAGAAACCGAAGGACACATAGATTCACTCCACCACTCCAAAAATGTTGCAGCTTTGGGTGTTCTTCCTGCAGCATCCACATCCACTAGGTTCAAACTGTGGTTGCTGCATGAAATAGCATTAGGACTGACATTCAGAATTCACTGCTGGACTCCATAATACACGTCAGCCATTGTAGATGTGTTATCATATCCCTGACCATAACAACTGTGTAGTTTCAAGCCATATTTTTCAATCTTGTTGATTATTTGATTCGTTATAGCTTCTGCAGTATTTCCCTCAAGAGGAATGAAGTCAATGAATGAGATGATGTTGGTTGTCAGCAGTTGAATTTTTGTTAAGAGATTCTGAATAACTGGGTTGTACTTCCCCGAAAGTTTCACCAGTTCAAGAAAATTCCCCGAGTTGGTGCCATCAGCTGTACGTTCTCTATGTCCCTTGAATGGAAGATTTTGTTTTGCCAGGAACATAATGCACTCACAGATTCACTCAAGAATTATCTTCCTCTGTTCCACAGCTTTATCAATTTTGCTATTTCAAGTTCTTTGTCCACGTTGCTCTTCTCTCAAGTCTGATAGAGAAATCCTTCCATTGATTAAAGGCACAGATATGAGCAAAGCTATTTTCTTCTTCTCCAGTGGGAGATTTTAACTTGCACCAAGCTTTGAATCCTTCTTTTCCAAAGGCACTATTTTAAGTATTAAAGAGCCTGCAACAGAAACAGTAAAAGAGTTTCTTTTAAGGGAGAAAACAACAACCAGGACCTAAGTAGCTTTTCACTATTTTCCAGTTTTTTGATGAACCAATTCTTTCGCCTTGCATGCATAACAAGCTCAATCCTTATTCCATCTTGCATCAGGTGTGGCCAGCTGCCCACATCACAAAAGATGATCAGATCAGGTCCAACACTTAACTCGCTGTCTCACTCATTCTGTGTGTTAATATTGCAGGTACTGGGTAGGTAAAAGTCAAGCTTGCTTCTAACTGTATATGCGGCTCCAATCACTGTTGATGCTGAAAATGGACTCATGCCTGTTTCCAAATCCTCATCCACAACCAAACTGAGAGATACCATAAATTGATGAAACTGAACTGCATCTTGATCATTTTCCCATTCTCTTTCTTTCCTCCAGTATCTCTATTCTGAATCACTGAAGCAAAGTCTTTTGTTCTGCATCACCATTGTTCTCTTATCCAAATTGAAAGAAAGAAAACTCTATTACTAGTAATGGCAGGACAAATATAAACTATCTAAAAGAATTAGTCTAAAAAAAGATATAGATATATAATTCTTATGCCTATGGGGAAAATTATCAGAAAACATCTTCTGAGTATTCTTTGAGCCTTCAACTAATAAGTGATATCACTGACATGTCCTTACTAAATTACTCTTATCAACCATTGAAGGCACTGTGTCCCTGTAATGTGCATACAGTTGACAAACAAAGAGCCTTTTTTTTAATTTAACTGTTAAGTATTTTGTAAGTTTAAAAGTAAAATTGTAACCACAGTTCTTTTTCCTGACATGTATATATTTACAAGAGGAAAGTTGGGAGCTTACAAGGATTTTAGGCCTCCATACCTGATCTAAGCCCACCATAGAGTATTATTTTTATGATTATTAAAAAGATGTATCAAAATTTATCAAAGAAAGTTATTTCTTCAAAGAGTAAATAAAGCTGCTGTAGTGTTTACTTATATGTAGCTAGGAAGGAGTTTACACTTTCATTGGGTTGTTTCAATATTTCTTTCACTCCAGACTTTTAACATCTGAAATAGCTCTTTATAAGTTACTCTTTCATATTTAGGAAGAACTGAAAATTTCAAGAATAAAATTGAATTAGTCATTTATAATGTAAAGCTAAAAATGAAATTAAATCCTTTAATCAGAAAACTTTTAAAATTGCTCTAAAACTTTGTAGTTTAATCTTAAAAGTTAATATTAATCTTCTACGAACAGTAAAAACTGATGCATCCTGAAAAGTGCCACCCAGGACTTGTGTCACTAATTGCATCTAAATAAATATTTGCTTGAAAATATTTTAACTAAAAAAAATTAATCTGCTAATACTTTTGTATATTGATTTTCCTTGTATCATAACAATGAAATATTAAACAAAACTGTGTTAACAAGAAAGTAACGTTGTAAGACTTAATACTCACAGAATGGCGCCATGGTAGAGGAGGGCATCTGATTTTGGCTGATGAAGATTTAACAACCAAAACGATCAATGGTTGGAAGCGCATCAACACCTTGGACCACTATGGAATCAAGGAAGCCGCTGTAATGAGTTTAGTGCCTAAGAAGAAACAAATTGGTCAGGAACCATCAAGTATGTTTTCAATTACTGTGCCAAGAGATTTACTACAAATTAGTATAAAAATAATATATATATACACCTGGAAAAAAGTTAAGCACCCCCAAATATTTTTCAGGATTGCTTATTGAAAATAAGGTTTAATTTTCATGATGTTGAGCAATGTTCATAATTTCAAACATAATTAAAAGGATGTGAGCGTTCAGGTGTGACTATTTAAATCAGGCGTGTTTTTT